GAAACAGGTGCAGGTGATTAGTACTCTGGGGAAAGTGATCGTTGCGTGGTGGTTTGTGAGGGTTCTGATTGGCTCCTGACAGTGGGTAACCAAACAGTTGTTGGACCCCATTGCCTTCCATAGTTTCTTTCAAAAATATCTTACTGACTCCAATATATATAGGCTACAACAAGTTGATAAACCTTCAGCTTACATTTTCTTTCCTGTCCATGTTGCCTAGGTGCTGAGCAATTTATTTAATTTTCATGAAATATTACCAAGACAACCTTTTTACTTTGAAATAACATACACTAAATTATGCATAATAGGAATAGGAACCTGCATCAAGCTTTAATGCTGCATAGAAACACTTTGGGAGGTATTTTTCAATATATACGGTGTAGAGTAGACTCATCAGTATGTGCATCCATATTGGATCTGACTCACCTAAAACACCACTCTGATGCAAGAACACATTTCAGAAATGTAAATAAAATTCAATTCTGCTTGATTATTGTAATGGCATGGGGAGCGTAAACAAGTAAACAGAATTCGCTGGCATGATATCAGTAAAATATTTGATCAAGGGGGAATAAGGCTTATACCAGTGTACTTTGTAATTCAGTTAATGGAATTTTTGAAAAAAAGCCTGTCTGGCACTTATGTCTTTGGGATTGTTTGCCTTCTGAAGGTCTTTTCAGAGAAAGAATAAATGAAATAAACAAAAACAATCTGTTGCCTTCTCACAAAAGAGGCCACATAAAAAAAGCAGGAAACAGAATCATTAACATAAGAGAAATCTAGCTTTAACTCAGTAAACATGTTTTGACATCCACAGGATGTTTTAAGCAGCCTGATCAAATTGATGAGAAGAGGAAAACAAAAATATCCAAAAATTGGTTTAATAAACAAGATACCTGCAATAGCACATCTTTCAATACAGCCTGAAGGGCATTGCATCCAAATTGCAATCACAATATCAATATTTGGGTTCAAAAACTGCCAAACAAGTAGAGTGCAGGCATAGAAATGCCTAATACTAAAACATTCTTAACGTTTTTTGCTTTTAGAATTCATTGCTGTGTTTGCAAACAATCTAAAACATGTTCATTATCCAAAAAAGCCCGCTGATTATAAGATGCATTTTGGGGTAAATCCAAGTTTGGCAGACTTTCAAGCTTTCTAAAATACCCAAAGCACAATAAAAGTAGTCCACACAACTCGTTTCAATTAGAAATGAGTCACATTACAAAAGCAAAGCTGTTTGCTAATGGCATTTCATGCTGAATCTAAATCCAAGCCTTTAAATACACTGTTCTGTGCCCTGTGAGGTCAATTACTTTCATTAACATCTCTCTGTAATTGTGGAGGACATTCTTTTATGATGTAAATCACAGAATGATGTCAGCTGTGACGTAGTAATAAGCACTGTCTGTCAACCATAGCCAACTAGATTCCTCTTCATTCCCAATTTCCTGGACTGTGTCCAGATAGTATCATGATCAGAGTTTCAGTGCTATAAAATCACACTAATGCTGTGTGAGAAACGACATGGACAGAGTAATTAAAGATCACTGAAGCAGGGCTGTCGATGGCATTGAGTTTTTTAAACTCACCCATTGCTTTAGAGCAGGGATGGGCAACTTCAGTCCTGGAGGGCCATTGTCCTACAGAGTTTAGCTTCAACCCTAATCAAACACACCTGAACAAGCTAATCAAGGTCTTCAGGATTACTAGAAAGTTACAGGCAGGTGATTTTTTCAGGGTTGGAGCTAAACTCTGTAGGACAGTGGCCCTCCAGGACCAACGTTGCCCATCCCTGCTTTAGAGGCTAAACATGCTAAGCTAACGGGCATCTATTTCTTTGCTTCAAAGATTTATTTATGTTCTTTGTGATTTCATGGCACTCTACTTTGGGTTGACCTTGGTTGCATCGTATAGTGAAGACAAAAATACACAAGGTGTTATATAAAGTTACCTGGACAAGAAGGCAGGGATCCATCATTCCATGTATATCCAAGCAAATGATGTGGGACAACTGCCACTCAAAGTCTGTGTGTTGGTTTTCAGTGCTACAAAGTTCTGCTACAGAAGATGGATTCTGCAAACATGGTCAGTACCAACATTGTGCACATTCAATATACTCTAAAAGTCTTATTGCACTGATGTTTTTCACTGTTACCTGGCTGCATTGCAGTAATGCTTGTGTACAGGAACATTTCTTCACTGTCAGTTTTTGTGCATTCTATGCTGCACAAAACTTTCTCTCCATTTTTCTCCATGCAGTACAGGTCTTGTCAAAGGTCAGCATCATTCCTAAAATCTTCTCCTGTGGTGTCACGGCATTAAATCTTGATTACCTGACAGCTAGCTGACAGCAACAAATGATTAGCTCTACACAACAAAAATCATTCTTCTGTTCACGTCTATAGGAGATTGCTGGTTGGGCTTGAGGCCAAACTAGCCTTTTGAAACATGATATACAATGAACAGTTGCGGTTTGTTACCACCCTTTCTTGGAATGGCATGTTATGGCAATCTAATTATTTATCTTAAATTCTTGTAACAGATTAGTTTCTGGCCTTATTATTGGTTAAGAGGCTGATTTTCTATGTGGAACATTTAATTTATGGAAATATTATTCAAACATTTCCAAACTTAAACCATAATGAACATCCATATCAAGCAGGGCAGGAAAAAAATGAGTAGGGGGAGGCTGCAGACCTGGAGCCGGCAGATATACGCCCCTGGCAGTTTTACGCCCCGGCAGTTTTACGACCCTGTTGTTCCTGATGCGTCCAGTAGAGGGATATACTGCGAAATAACATCATTAAATCGACGCTTAATAAACCGTCCATAGACTTGACAATTTTGTGTTTTTTGTTAATTTAAATATAAACCTTATAGTGTAGATCTGCACGGATTAAATTATCTGTTTAACAAAAAAACAAGGGGGGTAAACGGACATCAAAAGAGATTGAATTAGGGTACACAAATCAATGCAATATTACATTTTGTCAATATAAAAACATGTAAGGTTCTTTACAACAGACTCAATGATATTATTTGTTTTATAAACCTTTGAGTTTAAAGGTTCTGACATTTTCTTAAAGGAAGAAAAAAATGAACTTTATATCAGAGGAGAATATTCTAGAATCAGGATTACTTTGAATGGTTCTGTCTTTATGAAGATGAAACTTGCCCAGAAGACAAAGTAATAATACCGTATAATCAAGTTTAACATCGTTAGAATTAAAATCTGACAAAAATAGATTCTGTCATTTGTATGTTAAATAATCTGCTAAAGTTATTGTTTTTTAGCAATGATGCAACATTTATTATTTATAAACGATTAGCTCGATAGAGCTTGGTATATCAATTCATTTATATATCAATGGATGGGTCTATAATGTATTTTGACAGGTTTCTGTTCTATCTGGCTTAAACTTAACTAACCACGTGTAGGTTTAGCTTCCCCTATCTTCTCTACTCAATTTAAAATTAATTTTAATTTTCTTTTGTTGCCTGTCTTTAGCTTGGCCTCTTCTGGTAAGACTCTGTTTACTCCTTGCATTAAAACATACTCCACATGGTTTATAGAGCAATATTACAGTAGATAATGGAAATATGTGATTTTTTTTTTACAGTCTATGGTGTGAACACACAAAAGACACATAATAGGTATGTAAATCTCTCTCTCTCTCTCTCTAAGTAAAGAGTTAAACTGCACACTCACTCAAATACGTTAAAACACATTAAAAACTTTCCCCATATGGTTTGAATGTAGATTCTGGTTTGAGTTGTTTCTTATAAATGAGATGATCTAATTATCTCATTTATATCTTAATATAATTTTTTTCTTAAAATAGCTTACTGATCTGGACTCAAAGGTATGTGCACTTAATGTGGGTTTTATCATACTCTGTCTTTACCTTTCTCTTTAACTTGGATCTCATAAAGGTGTGTTTGCTTTAGCTACTTAAGGAAATACACACACACACACACACAGGGACAAGGTCAAATTCACCATTGATGTCCTTTTTAACTTTTTTAATGTTTCATCAGTGAGCAGGAAGAAATAAAAAACAGTTAAAGAAGCGTGGCAAACCATAGGGGAGTCATCATAATTCATAAATGGTGTTAATAAATATTTTTTTGTGAACAACAATGTTGTCTATATCTTCTAAATGGCCCATGGAATTTTAGAAAAGGGATAAATTGTGTTTGTCTTCATAAAATGCTGTGTAGGACACTGTTTTGTAGCTGTATGATGACCAATAGAATAGTACAGCAGATATTTCATCGAGGATCCATATTATTACACGGTACTGCATGTCTAATGGGCTAAATATAGTTAATATCTAAATGTGACTTTATATAAATTCACAAAAACATATTTCACTCAGTCTCCTGTATATAAAAACCTACGGTGAATAGGCCTATAACTGCAGTAGGTCATAGCATCACCTGTCATAACACATAGTTGATCCAACTATGTGTATTTTTAATTTTTCAATTCACAAAAACAAATAGTCTTCTATAGGTTGAGTGAAGAGAGTGAAGCCCAACTGAATATCTACAGAAAATTTAATCCGTGGAGTTCTACACTGTAACGTTTATATTTAAATTAACAAAAAAACACAAAATTGTCAAGTCTATGGACGGGTTATTAATGTGTAAGCGTCGATTTAATGATGTTATTTCGCAGTATATCCCTCTACTGGATGCATCAGGAACAACAGGGTCCTAAAACTGCCGGGGCGTAAAACTGCCAGGGGCGTATATCTGCCGGCTCCAGGTCTGCAGCCTCCCCATATAGAAAAAAATGGGAGCCATGGAGCATCACTGCCATCATTTACTCCAATCACCAAGATTACCAGCATTCTTCATATGTGATTATATTTAGTAGTAGTATACAGGGCTGATTTTTTTGTATATTCTAATAGTTGGATTCATAACAACAACGGACAAGGATCCAGTCATAATGCGCCAAGAAATGTAAAGAATGCGAGCAAACTTAGTGTGGTTTGTGGCTACATTTTTAATTATTATGTTTTGATTATACGAACGTCAATATATACAAACATTTAAAAGACTGAAAAGAAAAGACTAAACAAGACTTGAGATTTTAGCACAGGAGATCATCGTGGATCTTCTTGAGGATTTTTGTCAGATAGTTCTTGGCTGGTTTGACTGATGATAGGATGTCTTCAATTTGACTCAACCTACAGAAGACAGAAAGCAAAAAACACTGACACAAGAGTAACACAAAATTAACATTTTATGTGAATACTTCAATAAAGTGAACAATATTGTAGCTGTTGGTAATATTTACAGTTCCATGTGCCAAGGAACACTTGTCGATTAATGATCTTGAGAGAAATGCTTTTTAAAATATATGATTTATTCAAATGTATTCAACATATTGACACTCGCAGCACCAATGAGAATTGCATTTAGACTAAAATAAAAGTAAAAATTGGTTTGTGGTGAAGAGGAAACTTTCTGATATGAAGTATTCTAGTCATAACTTTTCTGTCAAACAGACTAAGTTACAATTTATATTACAGATTAATATTTTTTACTTGACACATTTTCTTTGAACGATTAGATGCGGAAAGCTGTTGTGTTTCACTAAACACTGCCTAGAGACTTCACAATATTTCTTTCTAATAACAATCCTGTCTTATAACGGTGATGTTATCTCCACTCACAAAGCCAGATAACGTTCAAACGCATTGTGATCTAAAAATGTTAATTGCTTTCAAACCTTGTATTCCCCATGTGTTTTTTGAAGTCCTGTATGTGAAGTGGTCCAAAGGGATAGTCTGGAGTGACCATCAGACTTAACTCAAACTTTTCAAACGCTTTCAGGCTTGAGAAGACAATATGAACTCTGAAAAAGTAAAAACAATAACAAACAAGAGAGAGAGAAAAAAAAAAGATGCTTACACTTATTAATTTGTCATCATGAATGAATACAATCTTTCTTAAAAGCAGGAGGCTTTAAGTTGACATGTTTCAAATCATTTAGGGAATTAGGGATAAGGGAAATGTCACAACTGGAATCTGTCATCCACATAAGCACCACGGCTCAACAGGCCAAGGAAAAGTGTATGAGTAGTAAGCTAGTAAATGTGCACTGATAGGTGTAACCTACTGTGTGTCTATACAGGTGATCTTCAGGATGCGAAGCTTCAATCCTCCCCACTTCTTTAGCCGGTGAATCTCCTCACCTAAGAGCCTGAGACGACCCACCACCAAACTAATGTCATGAAGCAGCTGTTGAGAAATGACCATACAACACTGAGACTTCTCATCTTGTTCTTATATTTTCTCATATACCTTTGTAGCAAAACAATGTCAATGAATATTTTAGATACTTTCATTTAAATATTAATGTACATGCTTACCTCTGGTATATGTCGGGTAGTTGGGTACCTCTGTGTCCATTGAGTTTGAGACTGACAGTATAGTGTGAGTAACTTGTGAACCATGCTTGCATGACACTCAGACTTTTCCACTTAAAAAAAAAAAAGTAATCATCATCAGGAAAAAAAAAATATACAAAGTGGATTTCAAATATTTAATAATAAATAAATAAATACATAAATAAAATGAAAAGATAAACTGATTTATTGTTCACTCACCATCCAGCTGCAACTGGAAGCATACATCTACACTTCGCTCCACATCCTCAGTCATCCATTCCGTTCCTAATAGACACAAGAGTATTTTAAGCTACTGTTAAATGTGATAATAATAATTAAAAACCATTAGGAGTGATTATAAATGATAATTAGCTCACCAGCAGGTATTTGCAGGTTCACCTGCAGATGCACAGTGTTGTGAAGTAAGGTAAACAAGGCCCCCCTTTCATCTGTCGCATCAAGACGCCACTCGTTCAAACTGAAAGACAAATCATCATACCTTCAGCAATATCTATTTACATAGCAAAATATATAGGATAGGTATAGTGGTAAAAATAAATACATAAATATATATTTCACCTACCGAAGCAAACATCTAGTAATTTCTAGTATAGCATTTGTTATTGTCACAGGATGCCAAAGTGCCACTGCAATGGATTTTAAACAAAAGGGGGAAAAAAACCTGTTCAAAGTTGCAAGATGACTCTTAAGGCTACTTGATTCTCCTCGCAGCTTTTCCTGTTGGCCCTCCAAAGTCCTAAGCTGAATCTCCAGCTCACCAATTTCCCTGAAATGATTAGCATTTTCAGCATTCAGCAAAAATCTGTATCTTAAACATTCCTTATGGTGTGGATAGAAGAACATACCTCTCCTTCACAGTGATATCTGAATTAAGCCTTTTCAAATCTGTCAGTAGAGAGGGAAAAACACAGACAAACCATTATATCTTTCTTAGCTTCACAAAGCTGCCAAAATCAATAGTATAGAAGTAAACTTACCCTCTTCCTTGGCTTTTAAGGCTGGTCTGGTTTGAGGAGCATCAAGATGATCTCCCATAATCATGGACTCTACAGTTGCAAGTTCTAGTGTAGAAGAAGCAGTGTGTTATTTCACTATGATTATGTAGACATTTATATTACATACATTCAAACATGAAACAGAGCAGAGAAAAAAATCCATACCAGTTTCTAAATCATTAATGCATCCATCCAAGTCTTCCATAATTCCGTCTGTCTCTTTGATTTTAGATATCAGGCTTTGCTTTGCATCCTAATTGTATAAGGAAATTCAGATACACAGCAGTTAAGGCTTTTAGTTCATCTCGGCTAGCACTGAGTCCTTCTAAAAAAATAAAAAGTTAAATAATCTACAATCCTTTCTTCTGGGAAAACACACTGAAAAAATGTATGACTAATGATCTTGCACTTACTAATTATGTCCAATAAAATACTAGCAGCAGTAAATCAAGTTTACGGCTGTGATTTTTTTAATTATTTTTTTTATTAAAAAAAGGTTAAAGGTACAATATGCAGGATTTTCCGCCACCAGGGGTCGCTAACCTCTTACAATAACAAAGGCGTATATTAATGACGTATATTCCGCATTAAGCAGAATTATGAATATTGTCGTCAAGCTGATGGATCTTTTATGGATGAGTGAATACAGTGATGTTTTTATCATGACTGTGGTGTGAAGCAGGGCGCGATTGCTAGACGTATACCAGCGCCACACGCAACGCGAGTCCCGCGGATATAAAGGAATAAGGACATTTCATTCTACCGAACTACACGCAAGCGCTGAATTAATAACCACACAGGTCAGTTTATTAGAGGAATTAAACTTGAGGTAACGTAGCTCTGTTTCACTTGCTCTAACAGTTACACTATCACAATAAACGGCATTTGTGGGTGGAATGTTGTTAGTTAGGTTGTTTGTTGGCTGTATGAGACTAGCAGTAAGCTAGATCAACATTAGAGAATAACATACAGATCATATTCTAACTTTTCATGATGTTGAACTACATAACATTGATTAGTTTTATGTACATTTGCTCACCTGTTTAATAAAGTAACATGCAACACTCGCGTCTCTGTCAAGTCAAAGTTAGTCGTGGACGTGGAGCTCTCGGCATCTCAAAAGATGTTGATCTTCGTTTTAGTCCTCTTTTTGTCTCAAAGTCTGCTTGCCATGGTCCAAAATGTTTGAACAAAACAACAACAGCGTGAGCGTCCTTCTAGGCACAACGGGCATAACCGGCATAACCCAGTTGTCAACTTCTGTCGCCATGGTTACTAATGCAGTATGAGGTCAAACCTGGTGGAAACTGGGGGTAACGCGGATTTGACACCATTGACTGGCGACTCCTCACCCCGTTTAAATCGCAATTTTCTCACGATTTACAAATAGTTGGAAACATTTGGGATATTGTAAGTAATCAACTAAACAAAATATATAACATTGGCCTAGTGGTTTTTGGATATTTTACTGCAAAAATCCTGCATATTGTACCTTTAAGTCCTTCATTTTGCCCTTTCCAATTACCGGTACTGTTTTCATTGGAAATGTGGAACTTTTTTAGGGTCTATGTATCAGAATTTCTCTAATCTGGATGTTCAGACGAGAAACAAAGAGGAATTTTTTGATTAAAGAATAGTTTTACTTTTCAACGTTTCAAAAAAAAAAAAAAAATGCCTTTACCTGTGTAGTTTTAATGAGCTCTGAGTACAAGACTCCTTTAATTTCATGAGAATGTGTCTTGCTTCTCTTTCCAAAGTAAAGTCTTCGCTCTTTCAACTTGGATCCAAAGCTTTTTAACTGAGGAAAATGAACAAGGATGAAGACTTCTCAAAGATGAATGCTACTGTATATGCTATGATTTAACATAAAATGACCCAAGATTGGCTATAAAAACAACATACTTGTTCTTTAGAGAGAGTGCATATCTGTTGCTGAAGGGCTCCATTGATGCATCCCAGGGATTTCTCTTGTTCAGGCATTTGTTCTTTAAGTCTATGGAGAAATTAGTTTCACTAAATAATTCCCAAAAATAGTTCACACACACACACAGTCTTACAGAATTATGAAAACCACACTAGTACGTACCTCTCCACTATCTCTGTAAGGTTCTTACAGTCTTGCTCATACACTCTCTGCTTGGGATGGTATATGTATTTCTCTTTGAGAAAATCTTCCATTGTGCATGCATCACCAGCCCTACACTGAAAAAGGAAAGATGTCTTAAAAACTAACACATATTATGTTCACAAAGAGAGCCAGGCCACTTACATTGTCAGGAAGAGCACTTGCTCTAGATCTGTGGATGACGAAGTTGATACCAAAGTGGCTTAGGAACTCATTCACTGTGATGCTTCCGTCCTCAAGTTTCTGGAAATACAAGAATGAGATAATCACCCAGATGTTTATATTTTCAAAAGAAAATGTAAGTGGTGCTTGCACATGCAAAAGATGTAAGGGTGCACAAGCACACCTTCCCTAAACAAAAGCACACAATTTAACGTATTATTCACGTCCGTCGCATTTACAGTCTGGGACAAGTTACACTGCAAAAGTGGGGTTAGAGGTTTGTTCAGATCCTGAACAACAACTATAGTGGATACACAATAAACAAAAAAATCCCTCTAATATGGGAGATAATGAAAGTGTGGGTGAATACTGCTACCTTATTGAAATCAAATACATTATCCAGCGTCCCATCCATATGAGAGTCAAACTGCGAGTATCTGAGAGCTGAAAAGCACATCACATTTTCTTTAAAAAAATAAACCACATTGAAAACTTCTTGCATAAAGTGCATAAAAAAACGTACAGTTTTAACAGTTCATAAACAGTTCATTAACAGCATAAACAGTTCAACGTGTCTGAGAACTGACACAAGCAACTCACTGGATTCAGAGACTCCTGTATCTCCAATTTTCTTTGCCTTGGGATTTTGAGCAGCATGCCGTGTAAAATTACCTTCCCACTGTACAGCAGCTTCATGACAGTCAGGCCCCTGAGGAGACAGAATCTCAGGCATTAGCATAATAATGCACAATAGAACCCACGCTTAACACTTTATTACAGAACAACCTTTAAGCATGTAGCAGGAAATACCAAGCAATCAACTAATAAACTAAATAAATAAAACTAATAAACTAATAAACTAAAAATGTATATTTTGTTCATCATACCATGTCAGAAATGTTGGCTTTCTTGGTTTGTTCTGATGTATAAGGATCTTCCTCTGGATGAGGCCTTTTAAAGCATGGACTCGTGCTCGTGCCTGACTCAAAGACCTCATCCTCAAAAAGCTCTTCATTTATAGGTACAGCCAAAGAGCCATCCAGTTCATCTTGCTTGTTAATTGGCCAATTTTCAAGACTGCCTGATATATCTTCTTCACTGCTCATTTCAGGTAACTCTTCGTCATTAATATTGACTGGTTTGCAGTTGCTATTTTGTTCAACAACATCCAAATGTTTCTCTAGTTGTAGACTTCGTAAATCATTAGTACCTATGGTCACAGTTTTGTTTGGAGTTACAGTTGTAGCTCGTTTCGGTAGTTTTGGCACGATACCACACAATGACAACCTTGATGAGAACGGCTTTTTAAGACTAAAAGGTGTGGTCTTCTCACTTTGAACCGAATTATTTTTCTGCTTAACATTAGGCGTGACATTTGAAGCTGGCTCAATAGAAATTTCAGTTTCACGCTGCTCTTTAAGGGAAATCTCTGGGAAGGAACAAGAAGGCAGAGGCGCAGTTGTGCTTCCTGTTATCACTTTTTGCTCTTCCTGGATACGTCGTGAAATATTTTGAAGCTCCATTTGAAAATCTGCTAGACTTCTCCGTCTTGCTTTTGCCGGTTTTAATTCTTCTTGACTGAAGGAATCAGCGATGGACTCATTTGAGGAGGAACCTTCCTGTTGGACTGAGCTTGTACTTTGTTCCTTGTTAGACCAAAGAGCTTGACTCTCCTCTTCATTTCTTGAACCACTGGAAGTGTTTACATTGGCTTCTCTCTGGTCAAACAAAACACCTTTCTCCATTTCAATGGGTATTGTTAGGATCTTTGTAATCTGCATGTCATTTTCGTCATCAGTTGTCATCACATTGCTTGGATGTGCCATTTCGCAGTATTTGTTCACTTGCATGACAGCTGGGTGACATGACATTGTCTCTGTGTTGTTGCATTTAAGGTTTTTGCCATCAAGATCAAAAACATGTTTTGAGGGGAAGGCATGGTTAATAGCACACTTGGCAGCTTCAATCACCTCATTTTGTTCTTCACTTGACACTGTGCATCTATAAACAGATGTTGATGCCCAAAGTGCACTTTCATTTGCTTTGATCTCTGAAGCACTTGCTGCCAATGTGCTTTTTGAGTCAACTACAATTGTGTTGCATCCTGTTAATTCCATTTCATCATCAACACAGGGGATAGCTAGATTTGATGCACTGGCTTGACATGTCAGTTCCATGCAGTCAGACTGATCCTGCCTTTGACAGCTTTGTGCTGTAGGTAACAGATTACTCTCATGCTTCCTTTCCTTATTGGATACAAAGCTCTTTAACATGATATTCCCGGTGAGTGCCTGGGTTATCTCCATACTGTCAACATCATGACTGGAGGATGTAGATACAAGGTTCAAACTTTTCCTTGATTTCCGGAATGGTCTGCCGTATTCAGCCTCAAGCACAACAGTCTGAGTCTGACATTGTGTCATGTCCATGTCATCAGGGTTGGAGAAATTGGTCTGACAGTTATCAGCTTCAGTGTTTTCAGGATAAGACATCAAGGACACCATCCTTGCTCCTGACTTTCTTCGAGTCATTAAAGCTTTATGCTTTTGCTCACTGACTGGTGCCATATGTACTTCAGTCATCTCCATAGGTACAACAACAGTGATAGTTTGATTAGCGGAGAATGGTACTGTACCTGTATCAGCACTTCCTAAACAGGCCCGGTTTGAGTCAATGTTCATAGTGTTGCATCCAGTCAATTCCATTTCATCAGGGCTTGGGGGTGAAATCCCAGCAAAAGTACTTGGTTGGCATGTCAAGTCCATACAGTCACTCTCATTATGTTTAGGTGATGTAGCAGGTATCAGAATGCTTTCATCTCTTTCCTTCTTGGTGGCTGAAAGAGCATTTAGTATTATACGCCCTGTGAACCCTTGAGTAATGTCCATCCCATCACCGTCTTCAGTTCTGGATACCGATGTATGAGCCCAATCCTTCCTTGAGTTGCTTAATGGTATGTCTCCACTGACCTGTTTAGCCTCGGGAAAAATAGATTGACACTGTGTCATCTCCATATCATCAGAATTTGCAGTTTGGGCAATGGAGAGGTGGCCTGATTTGTTGTGATCCAATATCTCTTCATTTCCAACCAAATTAAAACAGGACATTTTGCTTCCTCTGGATATTGGAGGCGGAGCTTCCTCCTTGACAATCCCTGCATGCTCGTCTTCTTGAACAGTTCTGGATACAGATGCAAGAGAGAAACTCTTCCTTGAGTTGCTAAATGGCTTGTTTCCACTTGATGGTTTGGCCTCGAAAACAACAGCCTGTGACTGTGTCTTCTCTGTAACATCATTATTAGCAGTTGGAGCTATCAAGTTGTTGCCAGATTTGTTATGATCCACTATTTCTCCATTTCCAAAAGCATCAAGAGTGGACATACGGCTTAGTTTGGGAAACAGAATGTCCTCTTTTTCTCGAATAGATCCATCTAAAGCCCCAGTAATCACCATATCATCAGAATTAGCAGTTTTGACTATTGAGAGATTGCTCTGAAAACAACCAGTTATGTTTTGATCTGTTGTCTCCCCAATTCCAATCACATTAAAGGATGACATCCTTCTTACTTTGGGAATTGGAGACTGCTCCTTCATATTCATTGTGTGGTCTTTTTCTCGAACAGCTAAATCAAATGCCCCTGTCATCTCCATCGCATTGTCATCCTCAGAGAAAAAATGGGATCTATTGTGATCCAGAGCAGCCTGGACATTGCGAGTGATATTTCCTGTAACTTTAACACTTCCTTGATTTTCAGAAATGGAGGGTGCAAGAGGCTGAGCATCATATCGGTTTTCAAGTACAACAGTGTGACTCATGGTTGTCTCTATATCGTCATCTTCAACAAATGTAACACGGGATTGTCTACGTTGAAGGGCCTGTGGTAGTTTTGGGTTACCCTTGCCACCTGGATGTTGCTTCATTAAAAAAGATGGTAAGTGATTCTCCTTATCAATTTCCATTGTGCTTGTATTGGCTGAACAGAAGACACTTTCCAGCTTATTTTCTGAATTTGGGGGCTTAATGGTGTTTACAGTGGGTAAGCACATACCGGCGAGAAAAGCACTAAAGTCTGGGTCTGTTGCAGCTTTTTTACTCTCTGCTTTTGCTTCACGTGGCAAACCCTTCTGACTTGCAACATTCAGATCACCACAGACTGTCTGAGCCACTTTGAAGCTACAATCTGAGTTTGGTTCTTCTTCTATTTCATAATCCTTATCAATTGTGATTGTGTGACTTTGAGTAATATCCATGTATCCAGTATTCTCTCCGAGCAGCATTGTTCTATCCACACAGTCATCTTGTAAGACTGGATCAGAGAAGAAATTCTCCTACAATTTGAGAGAGAAAGGTAAAAATAATCAGTATGTGTCAAAACAAGGTGGGTTTCATTGAGACATTAATACAAAAACTCAGTAGTAGGTACTGATAATCATCAAATATTGTACGCTCACACACTCCAAATGAAATGTCTGTGGCAGCATATCCTTAGTTTAATCAGGGATGTCATAAACTGCAGAAGTCTGAAAAATCCATAATGTTTTTGCCTCTGCAGCCTTAGATTAGTACCTTATGCTGGGATAGATAAAGAGGAGTGTTCAACAAAGTTTCCAGGCCTGAAAGAAATGGAAAGGTTTAGTGGTTCACTCTCTGACTATGAGAATAATTTTCAGGAAGTATGTAAATACAAGCATGAGATCAATAGATTATGTTACAGTGAACAACATTTATGCAATTACGCATAAGTGAACACACTCTAATTATTTTGAATAATAACACATGCAATGCGAACAAGATTGGAGAACAATGGTCCCAATTGGTCAACAATATTTGACAATTTTTCTTGAAAACTACCTTTGATTTGGTGATTTCCCTCATCAACAAAACGCAGAATCCTGTCATTAGAGGAAAAAAGAAAGTTACAGATTTTCATATATCTTCATGTGGATACAAAAAATCCTCAAACATGTTTAAACTTGAACAACATGTCAGTTAGAAAACAATGAAATAGTATAATCTATTACTTACTTTTCATCTGGTCTATCTCCTGATAAATTTAACAGAACACAATAAAGCAAATAACAGTGTGTCAGTGTTTTATATATGCAAGTTGCAACAGAAATATTTTATACTTTTCATTTGACAGAACTGGTACACATAATCCTTAACCATGACCCACCAATTACATCACATAAAAACTAGAACAAGTTAAAAACAAGAAACATTTAAACAAGAAAAATGCTCAGTGCTCACCAACATGTGTGTTTTGTATGGATGCCAGAACAGGAGATTCACTTTTTGCATCACTGTGAAAATTTAAACATCGTAAATGAACTATCTAACTATATTTAATTTCAACGTTATTTTGGGTCAACATTATTGCACTTACTTTGTAAAGACTCGAACATTATTTGTAGTGGCAAAACTCACTCTTCGCGAATTTCTCTTCTTCTCTACAGGTTTGGCAATTTCCTCCTTCATAAACATACACACATAGTAATATATATACTGTATATATATATATATTTTTTTTTAAAGAATTAAAACAAAAAAATGTATTAAAATTTTTTGTACCTTAATCACCTTTTGTTCCTCTTGCTCAGATCCAAGTACTTTCATAGATATCCGAGAAGCTTTTAAAATCTGTCAGAGGACAATCAAGAGGAACTATTTACTGTTTTGAGACAATTAGGAATTTATAGAAAACTGGGAAGACACTTGCAGGCTGCAATAGAGTGAATACAGGTAAATTGGCACACTTAAGCTTAATCACCTATCATTACGGTCTATATTCTTAGATTACTAAAAATCAGCAGTTCATCCTAAACTAGTATGTGACGATAGTGAAGCCATTTGGATTATACTTTAAAAACAACAGAAAGGATAAATCATCAGAAAGTGTCACATTTTCACAACATACTGGATACTTACCGAAGAAAGTCTCCTTCTTGAGGATTTCACTGCCTCACTGCTGGGAAAAGTAGCAAGATTACACACATTTTTTGGGGGGGGATAACATATTATTATGAAATTTACCTGGAAAGAAAACCATTTACCTAATAAACATGCACATTTACATATATTAAGGAGATGCTTTTATCCAATATGACTTGCAAATAGAGAACATCGAAAGCAATTTGTCATATCCATAGTGCACAACGCCACGTTAAAATGTGAGTTAGATTTAAGTTTAAGAAGATGGTTTTGCATTTTCAAAGAATGGCATTAATTTTATGAATAACAAATGATCAACTCAAAGCAAAAGGCTACTCATATAAATGCTTCTTTACATATTGCATTTACACAATCATTATATAAGAATATAAGATATTAAAGAAAGACTCATTAAGTCAGCAGCTTATAATAAATGAAAAGCAATCTGTGCAGTTTTCCTGAATCATACCACCACGATGTGACAGAAGGCTACTGAAACCTGAATGCTTAATATGCTAAAATATTAGACTTGTTTTTATTAGGTGTGAGCTCATAAATACAAATACAATATTTTTGTCATTTGCATGAGAGCAATGCAAATGGAAATGTATTATTGGTGTATCAAAACGTTAACTGAACTCTGTATTCAGTTTGAACTGACGCTCCCAACAGCAAATAACATCAAAGAACCTTTGAACATTTTGGACATGCGCGGAGCGAATCAATCATTTTTACAGAATCAATAAGTGTAAGCATGCATTATTCATCCAAAGCATGCCAAATCGGTCTGCACAACTCTGGTAAAACATTACACACACACACACACACACACAAAATCAACTTACCCTGAATTCAGCGGCTCCATCTTCAATGCATGTGCATAATACAGCGCACTAGATCTAAATTAAAAGTGAGAGACACTATAAAGTAACCTGAAATTAAACATAATGATGATTTGTTTTAATTACTCTAGACTAAATATTATCTACATTACAGTAACAGTTCTGTATTTCCTCAAGTTTTGTTGAATCCAGTGACAGTGTGTGTGTATTTGTCTGTCAGACGAGACATTCATACGCCCATAACAACAACAGCAACATTAACGTTACACCAAAGAAAACAGCCCTCGATATTTCAACAAGTTTAAAACATGTTTTACTCTCATAAATGCCATCGGACGACAGATTAGCAGTTGAAAAATATATATAATTAAAGCGCAATACCTAAAAGTTAGTTCCCTCCATTCGCTGCTTGTCTTTTTTTTTTCTTCGCAAAATTTGAAATCAACCGCCGCGTCTCTTCCTCACGCCTAGTGACTTGACGTGAGACGTGACGTGGCGCGTAAAACCAGACACGCAGCTCTCGTGTCCTCTAGTGGAGCGGATGATAATATATTTAAATAAAATAAAAACTCTTTAGCGTGATATTATTTTTGTTTGGATTAATTTCCTCTGTAAGAATCTTACAACAATATATATTTGTATATACATACATTTAGGTTTAACGTTATAAATGAATCTCAGTCAAAACCTCAAAACGGGCTTGTAACGGAAGCGGAAGTGACGTGGTTTATTTTGAAAATTGAAGGCGCTTTTAAAACGTTATTTGCAGATCGATATTAGCTGAGTTTGGTAAGTTTATACACATTCATACATACTTTAAAATCATTTTTTATCACTGTAGATTAACGATGTGAGATCTTTTAGTAAGAAATCGCACTGCATTTACGGTAAGAAAAAGTTGACATGACAAGAGACAGAAGCAAAGTGTGACATGTAACGTTACCCTATACATAGTGCATAGTACATAGTTTTTTTAGATCAACCAAACTTAATTTCTTGACATTACGTATGTGTATATACACGGTGTTAATGTATTTCAGGCAGTCGTTGTTTTAGTGTAAGTTAATTGTATCTCATCGCATCGATCAATATTCTTCTTAAATATTAAAAGCAGTAAGTTACATCCTCTGTTTCTCCAGAAAGCTGCATTCAGACATGAAGAGAGTTCAGATGAAAGACGCTGCGATTTCTGCACAGCCCAGAGCCGCACATGTCAAGAACGACATGGACAATAAGTGGGCATCTTTGTTCAAACGTTCAGCAAAGATTTCCTTTACCTCAATACCTAGTTTTATTTTAAATATATATTCAATATTTTTTTCAGGAAGAGCCAGCACAGGACTCTGAAAGTGTAAGTACCATGGTGTGAAATGATAGTCTGCCTGTCAAATAAAAACGTAGTTACTACTAGTAAGATAATTCTGTCCAGTCTGTATAAAAAAGGAAATGTATACTATTTTGATTTTCTTAGGCCAACCACTAGATATGGGCAACAAAACGATATAAGGGAGCAGAATCGAGCATTGACTACAACAAATGAAGACCTGCAGAGACAGCTTGAAGAAATGAAGGTGATTACACTAATCATTGATTTAGTGTTTTGCCCAAATGGATTAAAGACAAATTAATCAAAGAGTGCACTGCTATTTTAGAATATTTGCTAAAGTCAGTTGAGTCAAATACATTTAATACTCAAAACCATCATGTTTCTGAAGGAAACAGTGACTGAACTGGAGCTGCGATGCACAGACCTTCAAGGAGAAAATCGAGAAATTCAAAAGCAGCTGCGAGACTGCCACGTCCTCCTCGTTGCAGAAAAACTTGACCCAGGTGATGATTTATTTTATTGCTCTGTTGTATTGACACATGAAGAAGAGCAGTGTGTTTTGTTGAGTTGTAATCAAAACAGCCTCAAATTCAGTTTCAGGGGGAAAGTTGGGTCAGACAGCACAACAGAAGGAAGAACAAAGACAAGAAGTTATGGTAACTCATTTTGATTTTGATTTTATTTATATAAATGCTATTTTTCAATTGATAAATATTTATTTTGGTATCCTATATACAGTAGTCAACATTTGAAGTGGATTAAAACCTTTCATCAAAGTTATACCTGAATTACAACAATGCAAGAGGAAGCTGTCTGAAAGGGACGTCCAGGGGTACTAAGCCAGATTGTATCCTAAAAACATAAAACCACAGCTGCCCAACTCACTGCAGAATTAAATACGCATCTCGACTCTCCTGTTCCCACCAAAACTGTTCATCTGGAGCTTCACAGAGTCAATATTCATGGTCAGACTGCTACAGCCAAACCTTTGGTCACTCATGTATTGTTCTCAGATGAGTCCACCTTCACTGTCTTTCCCACATCTGTTGGGTGTTTTGGAGGAGCAAGTCAGAAAATGTGTTCCTCCACCAGGATCACATAGTGATCTGGCCAATGTTCTGGAAGAGGAATAGCTCAAAAACGGTGAAATGCATGTATCTGTCATTCCCAAGACGAAATGATGCTGTAAAAGGAGGCCCAAAACCAGGTGTATCAGTTTCATTGTCCACCCCGTGTGTGATAAAAAAAAAAATCTGTAATAATTTTTCTTCGATTCTTTGCCTTTTGGCAACATGAGATACTGATACATGAACTAATGGTCACTGCAGGCACATACAGTATAATAGGGATTGATTATATAATCAGCCATATTGTACAATAATCTGTTATGCCGTCACACCAGATTATTTGCTTTTTTTTTGGGTCTGATTCCTTTTCTGATGTAAAAGCAGACATATAAGACTCCATTCTTAAATACAGATGACGTCTAATTCTAGTCTATAGCATGTTTTCCCTGGAGAATAAGTCCTGACAGTGCAAGGCTAGTGTTAAACCGGAGTCACATACATTGGCCCTCAGTTAATTAATAATTTTTTGGCCATTTTGTTTTTTTCTAATGGCAGACTGTTTCTCAAAATCTCCTGACTGAGCTGAAACTGTTCGGTGAGACGGCACAAGAGCATGCAGCAAATTTACTGGTGAGTATCAGTATTTTGTTTTTAATATTCAAAAATTCTCGGTTATTTATCCTGATTTGAATGTCCCGCGGCACTGACCAGACATTAATACAAATGTTTCACTGAGACTGATTTATATGAGGATGAAATTACACACATTTTGCTCTGCTGGGCTAGAGGCTGTATAATTAATCATAACGCCAGGTCCACTGCCGATGAAATATTCATTTGAAATGTTCTAATCCTTCTAAATGTTATTGAGTGCACCTCTCCAAAACTACTAGAATATGGCATGACCTAGAATGGGTTCAGTGAGGATATTGTCAATCTCGGTTTGCTTCCAGGAAGTGCAGAACACCATGAGGGACCTGACGGAAGTGCATGAAAAGCTCCAGCAGGAGAGGACATGGTTCACTTTGGATGTGGAGGAAATGGAGAGAGCTTTGGGAGAGGCAGAGAGACTCTTGATGGAATAAATGAGAGAAACTCTTTCATTGGCTATAAATATTGCAATGCCATATGGTGTTTTCTGAGATCTGTCAGTCTGAGAGTGAGAACTGGCTGAAAAAAGCATTTGGATGAAAGTGTAACATATTGTTGCATTTAAAGGAACATCCACCACTCACCATTTCCAAAGTACATTTTTTTTTAAATATGACCCAAATGCTTTCTGTGTTTGTCTGCTGACAAGTTGAGATATTTATATAAACTTTTTCCATGTACCTCTAAAAATTGCAAAGCACTTCTTGAAAGATGCTGACTGTATGCTATTTTCATTTGAATGATCTGTGCGAATATGACCTGGAGTAAATATGATTAAATACTTTACAAAGTTATGTGCTGGTATTTACTCTCATCATAGTATCTGAGACTTAAAGAGCAACACCAGGTTTGATTAAAACCCCTATACTTTTCAAGCATTGTCCCATATGATGTGGAAATTTACACCACATAACATGGGTGGAGAATGGTACAGTTTGATTCTTTTTTTTTTTTACAGAGAACGTTGACATCACTAATATATATATATATATAGGCCACATACATGCGCGCACACACAAATATATATTTACATAAATAAGGGGTTGTATGACAAAAAAGTTTAGGCATGGGAGTCCCTGCATTACATAAACAAACAAAAATTAACATGAAAACAGCGATGACATTATATATTCAAAGTTTGGAATATTTTTGTCCAGATCAATAATTAGTGAAGGTCACTGGATGTGATGAAGACAAGTGTTTCACAGCTATATATCAGTAGTGTTTAGTAACTTGCATAATTATTTATCTCACACATCCATGGTGTAAATGAGAGGTGCTCTTGTCCCCAAATTTAGAAGCATCACAAATTTACATGACCATTCTATATTATGAATATAGTCAAAGCTAAGCGGTATGACACAATATGATTTTTTTTTTTTTGAAAGGAACATTTAAAGAAGTAAAAGGGAGAATTAGGGAGAATCAATGATTTATAATTTACTGCCATTGTGTGTGTGAATAATATGTAGGCCTAATCAAAAATCTGATTATGTAATTCAGCTAACATGTAGCATACATAGCTACTGCGCCAAATAAACTGCATATGCCATCTATGCTGCCAGACTCATGCTTATAAGCACAAGATAGTTTTCCAGTGAGACAGCTCTTCACAATGCCATCTCACGTCCACTTAAAAAAAAAGTCACTTCACTTTAAAACTGTCTGCATTGCTATAGCAACCAATGCAAACATGTCAGAAAATGACACCCACCGCCTCAACACATTTCATTTGATCACTTCCGAAAAACAGTTCAGACAGTGTGTTCTACTGATCAGATCTGAAAGACAAAACCTGCTGAACGGCATGAGAATGTTTTAATGGAGTGTGTTTGAGACAAGAAAGGAGAACATTTTCTGTAAAATGTGTATCTCATCCATTTAATCATAGTAATCAAAACAAGTGCACTACAATGATGAAGTCTCATTATCAGGAATACAGTGATACAGTGTTCTTACAGTAAGCCAAAAAACAAAACAAAAAACATGTTGGCCTGGTTTCACAGACAGGGCTTAGATTAAGCCAGGATTAGGCCTTAGTTCAATAAGGACATTTAAATGTGCCTTAGAAAATAAAAACATTACTGATGTGCATCTTGAGACGAAACAATGGCACTGCCATATTTTAAGATTTGTCAGTGCAAGTTGCTTTCAGTTAAAACAGCTCAAACATGCATTTTAGTCTGGGACTAGCAGTCTGTGAAACCAGGGGTTGGACACTTAAACCACACTTAAAAATCTATGAATGTCAATGCATTATATTATTATTATAAATTCTGACAACTTTTTTTCAATGTTTTGTTATGTAATGCAAAATCTTCACACATTATTAAGTGTCCAAATATGTTTGGGGCCACTGCATATCTCATCAGTGAATGTGTCATAAGAGTACAGGAGATGATATTTCTGCGGTCTGCATCATGTACACACAGCACACTCTTTTGGGCATTTAGTCACCAATACGTTATAAATAAAAATACCAGCCAGGGGGATAATGGCAGCAAAAATATGAACACAACATTACTCATGTCATTTGTTTAAAATAAATATGAGTCACATTTTTAGAGCATGTGTGGCTTAATGTGGCCTACAGTATTTGGGGATTTTTAGTTGAATGTGAGTGGTACTTTCCAGTGCAAAATATAAAAGATCCAGAATGACATATTACTATAATAATAAAAGTTTTTAAAGGGCAACATAATAACTTTTTTCTTTACTTTTGAGAGTGTTAAGTCACAATGCACATACTTCAGATTTCGACCCTTTCAAGACACAATTACTCATTTTAATTTTGAGTAATCCAGTTAAATGCATTATGATGCCTTCAGGTGCATATTGCATAACATGCATTGTGGGTAATACAGCTGTAGGAGGCATAACATTCCAGTAACAACTTTTCAAAGTGTTAACAACCTGCTTTGAAGTGCATATTATTCTCTCTGACTCATTCCGATCAATAACACCTTGCATAGCTCTATCTGTCTTTGGATGTAACATAAGGTATTTCCCATCTGGATGTTCAACACAGCAAGAAATCTGTCCTTGTCTTTTTCTCTGTTTTAAATGACAATAAATGCATAGAATAGAATTAGATTCTTCAGGCATTGAACCATACTCTACACAAGCCTGCAGATGTTTATGCAGTTACAATCTCTTCAAAGTGTTACTCCGCCATGACAGTTGACCTGGAAAACACATATGCTGGCTCCGTCCGAAATCGCATACTCTCTTGAGTAGGTACTTATTTTGAATAAGTAATACTTCACAAACGCTAAAAAAAGTACAGTCTATGCTAGTATGAATGTAATCTGAACGTACTACAGTACATCTGCCATGTTGTCATTATCATGTGACCTTCCAGCTTCAGTTGCGCTTCACTGATATTCACAAATGTTCTGCCATGGCCTCATGGGATAGTAGTGTCCATGCACACTTCAGAATTTTGTTAGCCTGGTTAAAACCAGACCATTCTCAGTTGTAACTGAGTTATGGTCTGGCAAAGCGTCATAGACAAATCATTTCCAGGGGGGCGTCACCAACGGACGTCGCGGATAGACCTAAAACCAATCAGAGCGATGAAGGAGATGACGTATGCAGAGCGGCGGAGAAACATCTCCGAGTGTCGTTCTTTGCTCGGTTTTTAACAAAAAGGAAGCGTTCAAATTTCTAACGAGTGATGTTCGACGGCGGCATCCATCTTTGTAATGTAGGCTACAAAATCTGCTTCAAAATCCCAGCGCTGTCGTCATCATGTAAAGCCCGCCCCAACGTTTCTGATTGGTGCCGCGATTTCGGCGGATTGGAAATGAGCTTGAATGAGCTCTTTGCCAGACTAACTTTCAGAGCAAATCAAAATTGGCCGGAAGTTGTCTGGGTTTCCCAGGCTAGAATTTTGTAGGAAGTAATATGTCTTTCAGGTACTTTTTGCCTATTCTTTAATGAGTACTGTGAATTCAGACATACTTCTTTTGTCACATACAGTTTTTCGCAGGGAAGTATGCGATTTCGGATGCAGCTGCTGTGTCTGAAATCAAATACTTCCCTACCTTATAGTATGCGAAAAACAGTACGGCAAAAGAGTAGTATGTCCGAATAAATATTTGGAATTGGAAAACAGTAGACAAAAAGTCCCTGGATGACCTATTATTTCCACTGAGATTTTGAAGTGTGCATTCGATGGACACTTTACTCTTTGTGAATAGAGTATTTGTGAATGGACACAACTGAAGCTGGTAGGTCACGTGACAGTAACAACATGGCAGATGTAGTACTTTTTTAACGGTTGCAAAGTAAATGTAGTATCAACTCACAGTGATACTTTACAAAACTGTGTTCTGAACGCAACGTGTGAAATCGATACTGCATAACTGGAAACATGTTCATATACTTGCGTAGAATATGTTTCAAAGACATATGTTGCGTTCAAGTCATGTCAGAATGATCACACTTATGAGTTTCACATGAATGCCACCTTGAAGTCGAAAATACAGGGAAACTTGTTGTTGTATTCAAGCTCCATAAATAAAGTCATAATTATAATACTTTTTAAAATCACAATTGACTTTTTATCTCATAATTTCAACATTTTATCTCATATTGACTTTTTATCTCATAATTTAGGCTAGATGTTGAATTTTTGATGTCATAATGACTTGGTGTCATGACTTTTTATCTCTGTTTTGACTTTCATGTTATAATTGTTTTCAACTCAATAATTTTGACTGCCATAATTGTTCGACATAATTTTGCCTTTCAATCTCATAATTTTGATTTTATCTCCTAATTATTACTGTCATAGTTTTGACTTTTTAATATCATAGTTTCGACTTTATATGTCATATATTGACTTGAACACACATGACATAGTTATGATTTCCAAACTCCTAAGGAAGGATTGGATTGGATTGGAAGGACGAATTCTTATCCTCTCTCTCTGGGTGACTGGATTGTACATACACTGCAAGCCAGTCAAACAAACAGTGTGGATTGTGACTTGCTGAAATGATCCGCTGTGGGTATCACTAAAGAACTACATCGACTTGGCACAAATCTACTCTACAGTAAAAACGCTTCGTTTTTTGTACAAAAACTGATCCTAAAAATATACACACATACAGCATATTTTACATACAGTATTGCTAACCTAAGAAAACGGTCCGCTGTGAGCACACATTTTCTTTCTTTTCCCGCTTTTGGTTTAAGAGAGAGCTATACGTGTGCAAAGGCAGTATTTTCAGTGCTGCTTTTTGTCCAGAATGAAGCCGCCCGTCCCAGACACGAGAATAAACCACACACAAAACACATTTTTGTTCCAGTCTACCACTCACTGTACAAGTTTTCGGTGATGTTTCAACTTCAGTTCGAGTTTTGGAGATCAGAGCGGGATTCAATGAATCACTCAAGCGTGTGTTTGCCCACACATTACGACTAATCCCGCAAGGTTGCTATGGAACGGGTATTCATAACAAAGGAATTCCCTTCATCCGTTTTTGAGGGTCTTTGAGTCTTTAAAATGAATACCACCTCTTGCTAAAGAGTCTCACAGTGCAAAGTCTCCGCTTCTTCTGGGTCATGGTTAATCTGCGAAAATCCACCCGAAAATCAT